CCTTCTACCGCCAATACCTACGCTTTGCAATTGGCCAACACCACTATCAATATACGGCCCTTCCATTCGGCCTTTCCAGTGCCCCGAGAGTTTTCACAAAGACTATGATTGTGGTTGCGGCTTTCCTACGTCTCCGAGGGGTGTCTGTCTACCCATACATAGACGATTGGCTTCTGGTGGCACCTTCACAACACGCCCTGATCTCGAACGTAACAGAAACTCTGTCACTACTGGACAACCTGGGCCTAAGGGTCAATCAACAAAAGTCTCACCTGTGTCCTGTCCAGCAAATACAATACATCGGTGCTATCCTGGACTCAAACACATGCATGGCTTACCTACCTCCAGACAGGGCCGCAGACATCATTTCCCTAGCCACCGTCCTCCGTACCCAACCCTCCGTCACCGCCTTCCAAATTCAGAGGCTGCTTGGTCTGATGGCTGCCATCCCTTACAACTATGGTTCATTCGCAACTACAACCTGTCGAAGAACGCACACACTGTCGTCCTATCCCCTCCTCCCAGCATACAGGACTCTTTACTTTGGTGGACTGTCCCGTTGAATATCCTTCACGGAGCGCCCTTCCACCCTCCGTCACCCAAGGTCACCATCACGATCGATGCTTCCCTGACGGGATGGGATGCACACTCCATGGTCCTTTCTGTAGGAGACAAGTGGAACACGCATATGAGGAACCGACACATAAACTTCCTCGAACTCCTGGCCATACAATACGCTGTAACCAGTTTCCTCCCCTTAATCAAGGGAAAATGTGTCACGGTCCTAACAGACCACACCACAGCAGTATCCTACGTCAACAGACAGGGGGGCACTGTCTCTCTACGCCTCTGCACCCTGGCAATCAATTTGTGGGAGTTTTGCATCACCAACGGCGTATTCCTCGTGGCCACTCACATCCCAGGACGCATGGACGTGGAGGCAGACCATCTAAGTCGAACAGGACTCAGCCTTCATGAGTGGGGGATGAACCCAACATACCTCCTCCCACTCTTCCACAAGTGGGGAGCTCCCCAAGTCAACATTTTTGCAACAAGGAACAACAAAAAGTGTCCTCTGTTCTGCAGTCAAGGAGGCAACGACCTGCAATATCTGGGTGACAGCCTCCTTCACCCTTGGTCCTCGACACATCTTTACCTGTTTCCCCCCTTACCTCTGCTTCTGAGAGTGGTCCGCAAAATACTCAGACAACGTGGACAGTATCCTAATAACACCATGGTGGCCAAGACAACCTTGGTTTTCAACGGTCCTCGAGCTATCGCGGGGGATATACCATCAGTTCCCCCTGGTTCCGGACCTACTCCTTCTCTCAGACTCCCCCGTCCTACATTACAACATAACACAGTTGAAACTGACGGCTTGGCAGATACAATCGCAGGCTTCTCTTTACGTGTAGTGAACGTCCTTTTAAATTCCAGGAAACCTACTACTCGGAAGTCCTATGGTTATAAATGGAGAAGATTCTGTTCTTTTCTGGGTGATGACGCCCCTCGAGCCACCTCAGCTGGCTTCGAAAGAGTTTTCTGTTTCCTTCTCTCCTTAGCTGACTCGGAACTTTACCACTCTTCGTTGAGAGTTTACTTAGCTGCTCTGTCGGTTTTTCACGTTCCAGTTGACGGATGTACTTTGTTTGCACATCCAATTTCCAAACGTTTTTTAAAAGGTTTGCTTCACCTTTACCCTTCTGTCAAAACTCCAGTCACTCCATGGGACCTTCCTCTAGTTCTACGCCAGCTCACGAGGAAGCCCTTCGAATCACTTGCAACATGCGAACTCAAACTGCTAGCGTGGAAAACGGCCTTTAAAATTGCCATTACCTCGGCCAGGCGAGTGGGGGAAATATTGGCTTTCCGGCACGATACACCTTACCTGTCCTTTCTGCCAGACAGAGTCCACCTCGTCCCGGACATCTCCTTCCTGCCGAAGGTGGTGTCAGAGTTCCACCTGCAGGCGGAGGTCTTCCTCCCTGACTTCTTCCCAAATACAACATCAGCGGAAGACAAACTACTCCACACCTTGGACGTGAAGCGGGCTCTCCTGTTCTATCTCACCAGAACGCACCCAACTAGACGAGACTCTCAACTATTAGTCTCGTACACTTCACCACGCCTGGGCACTCGCATCACGGCCCAGCGCCTGTCAAAGTGGATTGTAGGGCTAATCCATCTATGTTACCTACTTGCCAAACAGCCATTACCTGGTCCTATCAGGGCTCATTCTACCAGGGCTGTCGCGACTTCCACTGCCTTCCTCCAGGGAGTACCACTACAAGACATTTGCAAAGTCGCTTCGTGGGCCACGCCCAACACCTTCATCAGGCACTACGCCCTAGACGCCCGTAACACCACCAGTAACAACATGGGACGTCACATTCTGTCTTCGGCTACGCAGTAAAAGACCTGCCAGCACCCTCCTCCAGGTAGGCTATTGCTTGCTAATTTCCCATGGGTGTGAAGCACAGAGACCACGACAAAGATAAGCAGGTTGCTTACCAGTAACTGGTGATCTTTGAGTGGTCATCTGTGCATTCACACCACCCGCCCTCCTTCCCCACTGTTGTCAGCTTCTACATTTTTTGTGGGGGTTGATTTGCGGCAGTTTGTAGGAACTGGCGGGATGTCCGCGCCCACCCCTCTGGGCATGCGTGGTGGGGTTCCTGTGCATGCCCGAGGGACTGAGCGCAAAAATCCGTTAAAAGATCGATCCAGCCTGTGCGCACTAGATGCCATTTGGTGAATGCACAGATGACCACTTGAAGATCACGTTACTGGTAAGCAACCTGCTTTTCTTCCTGCTGCTCTAAAATCGGCTAGGTGTATATTTGCATGATGATCCCCTCAACCCAATTTAAAAGCTCTCCTTTCTGCCTAAACACTTACAGAGGGCAGGGTATCAAAATAAAGCAAATCAATGCCCTAGGCTTGGACAGTTGCCCCATAACTCTCAGCCTTTAGGAGTCCTGCTGCTTTTAGAGTCTACCGGGTACAGGGGGCCATTTGGGCCTTTCTGTGTAGACTGCTTCTGTGTAGACTGCTTTGCCCCAGGATTTTGTTTCATCCTCAGCTCCAGACTATGGCTGATCTCCTTTTGGGCCAGACTGCAGTCTTTTTCTCCTGCATTTTTGGTCCCATGGTTGCATAGAGGGTAAAGTAGCTGATAAACAGCTCCTCTTCCACAGGTCCTCCTGCTCCAAGTCATTTTCATCAGCTTTCTCTCCCCAGTTCTTTTCCAGGCCTAAGGCTGTTTTCTCCAGCTTTCCACACCCATCACTGACAGGCACCACCTCACCATTCAAGACCACGGTTTACCCAGCTCTACAGACCCCATCAACCCACAACAGGGTCATCTGCAGCCACTGGACAAGCATTTTTCACAGCCTGTATTGAGGCTGCCTGTACTACAGCAGCTGTTGCAGAGACTGTTTGCTGTCAGAACTTTGTCTCCATGCTTGTTTGGACACTGTCTTTAAGGTGCTATTCTAACGTCAATTGCTGCCACTTCAACTTATTCTCCATTCCGGCTAAAGAAAATAATCCTATCCCTAAAATGTTACACACTTCCCATTTTTCCAAGCAGGAAATGCCACCTAGGTTTGGCTTCCTTTGGACAAGAGCACTCGAGAGCCTTATTTCATTAACAAATATGCAAGTAGAACATAGGCAAACGGTGTTCCTTAGGACAGCATATCAACTTCCTTGTATCAGGTCCCCATAGAGCTGTCATCCTAAAGCACTTCAGCCAACTCCCCCAGCCTTGCTCAAAACCAAACTGTTGTTTCTTCAACCATGTATACCTGGCACTTCTTGGAGGGTGTGTGTGTTAGTTACCTTTTTCAGGCTCTGAAGTTCTGGCCCTTCTATCCTGCGTTACATTTCTAAGTGTGGGGCCTACTAGATCCAAAGTATTTGAACAGCAATGTCACACCAATGTAAGTGGTCATGGAAGGACCGCCCCACCCCTGGACCACCGAGAAGGAAGCTTCACGATAAGTGAAGACAAATCTTCCGTTCTATTGTATTTCTATTATTATTTACTCAGTTTATTAATCACCCCATCCCTGTAAAGCAGAGCTTCTGATGATATACATCAGCGATAAAACAATTGGTAAAATCATACAACAGTCCAATTATACAGTTAAACATGTAATTAAATGCCTAAAATCCAAGATACTGCCCTAATCTTATTCCATACCGGACTGTACCACAGATGAAAGAGAGAGGGTGCTAGTGATGGTCATACTGTCACTGTCCTCAACCAAAAGCCTGGCGGAATATCTCTACTGCAACACTGTATTTTTCCTTCCTCCTACGACAAAATATGGGCTTTCTCCACAGGTAACTGCTAAGCAAATCCACTTTCACCATACCTTCTCACCCTCATAGCAGCAAACAGGGGTATAGCCATAAGTTTGGTTGGTGGGTGTGGGAAATTTGGGGGCACCTGCCACACCTGTTCCTCTTGCAGCAGGAGCAGCTCCACTACAACCTCTAATCCACTAGTCCTTTCAATTGTAGAGACTTGATTCCAGGATGCTTTTCTGTGTAAGCCCAGGAGGGGGAGATTTCCAACTTTCTCACTCCCATTATTTCTTGTATTTTGCAGTTTTCTTTTATTTTGCATTTTTAAAAACCTATTTATTTTTCGCCCTGGACTGAAGCTTTTCTGACTGTCATTTTGTCCCCCCCCATTTTTAAATTATTTTTTTTAAAAAAAATTGTCTGCAGGGGCAGTGCTCGTTTGTGGGGGTTCTGCCCCCAAATGCCCCCCATGGCTATAGGCCTGGCAACAAGTAATATGAACACATGACTATATGAAAATGGGGCATTTTTGCCTAACTCCAGGAAAGACTGCAATCTGTATGCCTTGAACACTTTCAAACATGTTTAACAAAAATAAAGGATTAAGTGTACATCTATGAATGCTGGAGTGCCAATTTGTTTTTTAGTTATAACCAAACTATCCAATTAATGTTTTTACCCAGACCACAGATTTTCAGATAAAGTAATGCAGAAAAGGAAAAATGCCACTGATGTGCAAGCCAGCTTTGAAAGGAACAAGAATTGTGATCAAGCAAGCAGTGTGCTACCAGGATGTCACCAAGCATGGATTTTGTAGTTTGTCTTATTTTCACAACACTCTCTTAACGAATGATCAAGACATGTTTCAAATTTCCGTTTATTTGTGAGATAATATTAATGGGTAATGCATTTCCCATCGGCTTTTGCAATAAAATTTTACTTTGTATGTTTTTTTTTACCCATTATGACATAAGATACTGCATTATGGACAAGGACTTAAAACCACAATAAATCAGTAATGTAACAGTAGCGATATTAGAGTGTATAAAGTTGACATGGAAGTAATTTATGCACCAATAAAGAGGTCAGTTTTATTAATTGGATTTTTTTCATTTGTCACACACAATGAATGTTTTTACAATGAAGAAAGCCTAACGATTGCTGGAAGCAACTGACTAAGATCAACTGATATTTTTGTACCCACCATACCATGTATAGCTTCTTGCTCTTGGCCTCTGTTCTGCTTAATTTCACTGCTATTTGTAAAATTCTGTGTCAAGATTGTCACATCTTAAATACAGGTAAGTTGCTAGAAGTACATTATATACACATACAGAAAAATACAAGACTAGTTGCTTTCCACAATATTTAATTTATATGCTACAGTAACTATATGCAACTTGTAAAGACAGCTTTAAGGGGTACAAGAAACTGTTACTTGCTCTATAATAGTTTGGTCCAATATATTTTAATGTAGTGGTTATTTGCTCCCTCCTTTAACATGACAACGTAATACAACATACAACACATGCACAATCATTCACCTGTGAACAAATGAATAAAAAGACACTCAAGATAACCTGTACACCCAGAGGTTCAACCAACCATACACAACTAAATAAGGCTATTTTACAGCTATGCAGCATAAATGGTCAACACTGCTGTTCTAAAGTGAGCACCATATATACACATTTGTATATAAAAACAAAACACACACACACCTGGGTTAGTCAAAAGGTGCCATTCCAAGGCTGTACAGTGTGGAAAGAATATTTACAAAACTTGAAAATAAAAAGCTGCAAAGTTTATTGCCAATGCCCTTTATAAACTTTCTCCTACTTTTTAATAGATGCTCTGTGAACTATCCATATTTCTGGCCCTTTATAAGATCCCTGCTCAAGAAAATTTCAAGCAAATATGTTCTATGGCTTCGCCCACACAGCTGTTTCTTCTGCAGCTTTCAACTGTTGATATCATACTGGTATAGCATGGTAGGCTGTTTTAAAATTAAACTGCAACAGCTTAAAAACACCTAAGTTTTAAGAAGTAGAATGTTTCATTTATGACTTGCTGTATTTGGGAAGAAAAGTATAAGCCCCAACTAGGCTAAATATTAAAATATGCTATACAATTTAGACTTACAAATGCATCTCAAACTTGTTCACTTGGAAATAAATTGTGCTGAATTCAATGGAATTTTTTTTTTGTAAGCATGCCTTGGGGCTGAATCATTACCAAGACCTAGGTTAGTGTGAACAACGTAAATCATAACCAAACATAAGTTCTTTGGTGCTCTGCAGACTACAATGTAAATGAAATGCATTCTTCTTGACCATTTTGCTAGCATTAAGATACTAAAGTGTGTAAACTGTCTCAGACATCGATGCTTGTCTGGGATGCTGCTACATAATACCATCAATTCTTACCAACATTGCTTTGAAGACCCAGCACACACAGCATGAAAAAAATAACATTCTTGCCCTTCACAAAATTAGGAATCTGCAATATATTTTATTCTAGATAAAAGTCCACTAAAAAGTTCATCTTGTCAAAAGTATCCTTTTGTACAGAAAAATGCCAACTAGTTCATTTGCTAGCATTTCAATAGCAAGGGATTAAAAAAGGTATGCTAACAGCAGTGAAGAATGTAGAAGGAAATACCAATTTTTTATTATTTGACTTGATTTGGAGAGAGTGCTACTGAGGGAAATTCAACTAGGCAACTATTTTATACCCAGCAAACTAAATGTGATAATAAAAGAATATCTTGAAATCTGCACTACTGTATTCCATGTTGCATTCTGAAATATTAGACATCAGATTTACAATGTAGCCCACTAGGCTCTCTGTTAAATTTAAAAGATCCTTACTCTGTTCTAAATGCAGTAATTGTTTCTATTTCCATCAATTTCATTTAAAATATTTGATTAAACACCTGAATTGTGTATTAAGAACAACTTCTGGTATAAGTAACTTTACACGGAGGTGATTGCTGCCTCTTGTAACTGTCCATGGTGTACATGGCAGCAATGTTAAAACAGCTGAGATACTTGATTGACTTTTAAAGTAATAAACTCTCAACAAAGCTGCCATTAATATTGAAAACAAACTGTGAATGCTAATGGGTAGGGTGGAGGACATGTTCAGATGATACCAACTTGGTTCGGTCTTTTAATTTAATTTAATGACCAGTTAATTTATAGGAACTGGTTTATTGGAATAGATCTCTGAACAGCTACATATATTGGTCCATTTTAAGTGGCCTGCACTGTACTTAACTACCCCCGTTATATTGTACTACTACTGAATCAATTTTCCCTTTGATTGTAAAAAGCTCCAGACAGATGACTATAATTTTCCTTAGTTACTATTTTTAAAAGATTGTCTGCATGTAACAATATTTCTATGGAGAAAAGCTGCCATAGAGTGTTGTTTTAAATCTTGCCCTTAGCAAAACAAGATCTTCAAGTTCTGCAATGACCTACCACATTATTACAGCTTAAGACAAAGATGTGGGATTAAAATCATAGTTCAAGACACCTTTTCAGTGCAGTTTTGCTGTACAAGCCTTGGAAATCTGAAAGCTCCCAAAAGAGTTTTCAGCATTAAAACATTATTGCTTTGGTTCTGTTGCAAACACACAGAATTATGCCACATCTCACATAGTTTAGGTATAACAGATCAGAACAAGATTGGACATTTCACTTAGGAACAAAAATTCTCTCTCTAGTTTAAGTGCAGAACATGAAACTACTAAGTGCTTCATTTACACTGGATCAGGATACAAGTCTTACTGTAATCCAGAATTTCATATTAAAATTATAAATGTAAAAAAAATACACAATAGCCTGGTCTGTTGGGAAAAAAAAAATGTGTTGGCTAGCAGCATGCAAAAAATCATGCATTGTCATATCAAGCAAACTAAAATTAAAACATAATAAATTACTGCTCAAAGCTCACTTTAAAATATTAAGACAATGGCAATGAAGGATTTCAGTGAAATAAAGTATTCACAGCTCTGAAAAGGAAGATTGGTGATGTCAAGTAGAATGGGTTAAGTCCTGTTATCGTCAAACAACATGACAGCAAGTAGTCTGACCGGAGGTACACAACAGTCCCTCCTTCGGGTTTCGCTGAATATTCACAGATATTGTTTTTTCACACAGAGGTAGTTGTAACACGTTATTTTTCAAGTTCTTGCTCTTTATTCGTTCCAATTCATTTGTTGTGTCTGACATTTGGTCAGAAAAGAATTTTATGCTGCCCAAAGATGAAGCTGGATTTATACCACCAGCAGAACTAATGCACATTTTCCATGTTGATTTCTCCTGAACCTTAACACTGGAAAATGATATGGTGTTTTGTGGATCAATAATGTATTTAGTACTGTTGTGAATCTGAGAACCTAGACAGAGACTCATCAATTTGAGGCTTTCTACAAGGTCACCTGCACTTCTTGAGGACAACTGCATTGAATTACCAGATCCAGCACACCGACGCGTAGAACCTGAATTGTTATTCGTGCTTCCTCCAGAGCTACCAGAAGGACTTCCACCTCCTTTATTGTTGTCTCCAGGGCTTGCTTTGTCTAGACCTCCATTTCCATTGTTTGGTTTGCTTTGTCCACTGCCATCTCCCTGATTGCCAGGGGGACCTTCACTACTGTCCCGTCTATGCCAGGAATAAGTAAATCCACTGTCTTTATCTAAACGTCGCCTACTTTCTGAATCATCATCACTTGTTTCTGAGCTACTGCAGCTAGATCCTCGACCCTGGCTTTTCCTTCTGTGGTAACGTTTGTGCACAGTGCTGGGTGATGCAATATTCATTTTTAGCCTGCTAAGTTTTGGAGGTAAATTCTCATCCATATCAAATTCATCATCAGATTCTCCTTCTTCAAAGATCTGATTGAGAACTGGAGCACTCTTCCGGGAAGTGAGACGATTTGTAACTGAAGGCTTCCGGCGCAAGACAACTTGTGTTGAAAGGGAAACAGGTTTTTTATCTTCTTCATCCTCCTCCTCATCTTCTTCCACCCTAAATAAGCACTTCCGACCACTAGTTGTAGGTTTTAAGCTCACTGAAGGAACAACAGAAAGCGCTGGGCCAGCTAATTCAGGGATTTCTTCTTTTTTTGCTGAATCACTAAGTGCCTTATTCCTGTGGCCATTGAGAATATTTTCAGCACTGCGAGCTGGAGATTGAGGAACGGTTCCATGGGACAGAGGAGTTGCTGTAAGGTCATCTTCTAGGTCTTGCGGAACATCAATTTTTGTTGGCCATGATTGCCTATAGCAAGTATAAAGTAAAAAAACACACCCAAAAATGCAATTTTACTAAAAGTCTAAAGCTCAAAGAATGAACTTTAATTACAACACATTTTACATAAAAACAGGTGCAGTGTAAATAAAACTTAATAGTTACAACTGAGCCTTAATTTGAAAATGTACTAAAGAGGCAAAGAATTTCCTCACTGTTGAATGGCCAATCCATGAAGCTGAAGACAGTTTCACAAAGGCTACAGAAAGAAATAAAGTAGGAAATGCAAATTGGCTAGACTAGACTCAAGGGTGTTGGATCCTAGCATTTGAAAATTTAACTTTCCCTTTCATTGTATTCATTACCTATTTCTCTTATGTAAAGTGGTAAAATAGATATCATTTTACAGATGTGGCCAAACATCCAATCTGTTAAAATCCCAGTAGTTTCCTTTTTAACCAGAGTCCCTTAAACATAAGCTAGTAAGTGGAAACACTTTCTTGTTTTTAGATAAAGGAACAATAAGACTTATTACTTCTTTAGAAGTAACCTGTTTGAAATCTGAAGATGCAAAGTTTGAATAACAGCACATTCCTGAGCACAGTTACACCCTTCTAAGCTCACTGTCTTCCATGGACTTTGATGGGTGTTAACACACAAATTATATGGTATCTCCAACCTGAATTTTCCAAACATTATCAAGGACAAGTTCTAAAACTTTTACTGTCAATTCCTGCCACTTTCTAAGATCTTGCTCAAACCCTCCATACATGTAACCAAAAATACAATTCAGCTGTAGAGCTTTACTTTCTAAGCAAGGGGCATGCAGTTCAAAGAAACAGCTAGGAAACATGAAGGTCACAAGAACATGCCTTGAGATCCCAAAGGAAAGGAATTATAGAGGTTATCAACTTTGTGGGGAGGATGGAATATAATCCTGGTGATCTTCAGCATGACTATTTAACATGCTAAGTAGCATGTATTCCACAGTGCCCTCATTGGTTTCATTAACAAGAGATCAGATTAATTTGAATATGCTGAGTGAGGGTCCAGACACCAAATAAACGTTATAAAGAACTGTAGTAGTGTGCTGCAAATCCAAGGGTCTATTTGAGATAACTAAAATTTTAATTTTATTACAAAGAATTCCTTCAATTTTGCTGAAATCTCCAGTTCTTCATTCTTTTACACCTTTGCCATTTAATGGGACTTTCTGCCTATCTAGATAGCTTCCTGTGCTTCAGCTTTATTTGCAAAATAGATATAAGATAAAATTGCTTGCTGTACTTCCTTGCCATATTAACCACTTTTGAAATAACCTATTATGTGTGCTTGTGCACCCTGTTTCTATGTATGTTTATATTGGAGCAAATCACACTCCGTTAAGTGTGACTTACTTCCAAGGGTACAAAGGATGGCAATCTTAGGACCAAGGTAGATATGATATTGGGTTGGGCAAAGGGAGTTCATTTGTATTTATATTTGCATTTCAGCTCCCTTTGCCTGTACTTTTTGTTAAGAACTGTATTCTTTCTCTGTCCACAGATTTAGACAGATAGGTGTAGAATATAATACAAATAGATTTCTGCCTCCCAAATTACATCCAAATTGGCCCTTAGGGGGTTTTATTGTGTGTGTGTGTGTGTTCATTTAGTTTTGGAAAAGCTTTCTTGCCTTTTATAGCCTTTACTACAGAGTATTTTAAAAAAACAAACTGGCATATTTCTGGACTTGTTTGTGCTTGTTCTAATATGAAGTGCACATTTTATTTTAGCATTATTATAGTGGCTATAAACAACGATCTTGCTGACTTTTCCTAACGGTATCCTTTCAGCTTCTTTTTTAGCTACTCTATTTTTGAAATTAAACCAAGCTGTGTTGGACTCACATGTTATTTCATTTCTTCCATTTTTTTTTACTGCCTGGCCCTCAAGGTAGCTTACAAAACACAGCTGAAACTTTACTACATATTTTGCTTTAGTGGCCTCACTTTTTTGCATCTCAAACTCTGTAACAGCTTTGGTACTCTGACAGCATGCATTGTAGATCCTTGTTCTACTCAGTATACAATATGCTTTCTATATAAGGGGAAGTTCCTAGGCCATTGTAGAGAACAAATTTTCACGCATAAGGTCCCAATTTCTTACATCTCTGGTTAGAATTTCACATTGGTAGGGGACAAAGTTCTCTGCTTGAGATCATGGAGAACTGTTACCTGTCATGCTAGGTCAGATAGGCTACTAATCTGCCTCCATATAAGGCAAACACATCTGTGAGTGCATATTTATACATCCACACTAGAAGGCACCATAGATCTTCGTGGTCTCTGTGCTTCACACCAATGGGGATCTAGTGCGCCTGCGCTGGATCTGCCGGTGCCGTAGCAAGCTCTCTTAAAAGGATTTTCGTGCCTGGCCCAACTGAGCATGCTCAGGAGCCCCAGTGAGCATGCCCAGAAGGGCAGGCACGGACATCCCACCAGTTCTTTCCTTACTGCCGCGCTGAGCAGACCTGTCTTCGAGAGGTCTGGCCGGATCGCTGTTTTTGGTCACTTTTAGTGATCAGCTCTCAATTTTTTCTCTCAGTTTCTCTTCAGTTTTCCTTTCTCTTGTCGTTTTTTTTTTTAAAAAAGGAGAGTTTTTGTTTTTCGTCGCCTGAGGTAAAATTACCTCAGGCCTTCGGGCTG